AATACAGAGCCTGGTCTGGTCCTGAATGCCTTTTCCATATCGGACAGCCGACTTTCCGAGCCCTATAAATATTATATTAGTACCACATCTCCTGAAAGCCCAAAGTCAGGCTCCCGTCCAAGAAGCCGCCGAGCTCCTCTCTGGTCTAAATCCGTAACACAGCAACACAGCTTATTCCATCAGATCCCAAACTGGAAAACTGGCTGGGGAACATGAGTACTAATTTCTGTCAATTACATTATCTTGGATGGAATATTTAATATTTTGAATGGAACAGCATTTAATTGCTGCTCATGAGTACTTTGTAGCTGTTGGAAACTTTGATCTAAATTATTATTTTAATGAAAGATTGCCAAAGGTCTCACATTTTAAACTCCCACATAGGATTACAGTGGGACTGTTTTCCCTGGGTTTCCGTGCTGGCCAGCCATCATTTCCCAGTTGTGGCACTCAGGATAATGCCAGCCCACATGCCTACAAAACTGTCCAAGACTAATTGCTGAGGGCATTCATCACAAATCTGACTGCAGAGCCTTCTCAGAAATTCGCACTGCTCTGGGGTCACGATCCAATGGGCCCATATGGCTCAGAAAAAGGTCTCCTTCATATTTGTGTCAGCATCCTGAGGGTACTAATGGCTTTAATGGCCCTGAATAGCCCCACCTGCTGCCCATCAGCCGGGGCTCCATTTAAGCTCTGCCTTGAGAGCCCTATGTTTCTCCTGAGCTGTGCTGTAGGTGCAATCTCATATCTAGCTTGTTTTCCTGGATAGACCACGGACCTATATTGTAGGTAGGTCTGTCACCAGCCCTGTTTCTGGCCTGTCTCTGGGATGGACCTTGGGTTGATGTAGTACCCTTGTCTGGTAGTTTGTTCTTGGCACATATGAGCTGGTATGGACACCAGGTAGAGCTGTGCTGGTGGCATGAGGAGTAGCCATTGGTAATGCTTTGCCACCTGAAGGAAGATGAACTTGGGATGTTGTCCCAGGTTCTGACCGTTTTTTTCTGCTTCAATCACAGAAAGTCAAATTTGCCAAAAAGAAAAAAAAAAATCCATGAAAATCCTAAAACTATTTCTGAAGGTCGCTTTTCTGCTCCATGCAAGTTGCAAAGTTACGACGTCTCATCCAAGAAACCGTTCCACACACATACGCATGCCTACAAAGCCCTTTAAACCATCACTAGTGTCCCCTTCTTCAAATGGAGATCTGGAATTTCAAGTGGAAATGCAGATTTTATTTATAGTCCTGGTACATTTTCCAGCCATGATACGTAAATATGTGGAGCAAGAGAACTGCATTGCTATTTGTTTACCGAGCGGCACGAGTGGTGAGTCAGGATTGCTATTGAACTCACCCTGCTCTCAGAGGTCCTCTCCAGCCTTTGGGCCAGAGGGCACTTGCCGAGGGTCAGCTGCTTCGGTTTTGTATTTTAGGAGATTATATTACATGTTGCCTTCTTGACAGCATGGAGGGCTTGTTCAGATTGCCCTACTCTGCGGCATCAGCACAAGCACTTTAAAAAAATTCGCTGTTGCTGCATCCAGACAGTTGAAACTCCTGATGTAGTTTTCCAAAATTATGAGATTTGCTTTGAAAATCAGATAGTGGTTTTTTTTAATTATTATTTAAATGACTGTGTAGTCTTTGCATTAAGTTCAGGTTTGAGGAATTAGTAGGGATAGATACTTCAGCTGCAATTTCAAATTTTCCATCTTAATGGTGAGAAATGTACTTTTTGTGATGTGAAAGAAGGGGAATCGCTTGCCTCTAGCAGCTAAGAAAAGCATCAAATCTTGTGAGATTGCGGTTTAAAAATAGTGATACATGGACAGTTAAAAGTTGCCTTCTTTACAGATTTGCTGCTGTTTTTCAGTAATTCTAGATCCCCAGACCCTACATGTCAACATCAGTCATGTTAGCAGTGCATGGACCAGCTTTGACATCGTCTGGACCAGCCACGCTGTACCAGCTGAGCTGGGCTGCCTTCCCACCCACTGCCCACCTCTTCTCACTGTCCTCAGCTTTTTGCAGCAAGTCCTTACTCTAAAAATGCTAAGCTTGTTTTGGGACTTGTTCAGGACCCGTGCTCCTTTGCAGCTGGGGTTCCTGGAACGTAGTTACCTGCCGGGAACCCTTCTCCTTATTTTCCTGCTCAGATGGCTGTCAATGGGGATATGGGCTGGAGCAGTTTTATAACCTGATGGAAGCTAAAAGCAGGGCCATTCTCTGGCCCAGCTGCTTGGCAGTGCCCGCACCTTGGCCTGTGGGACCCCAGCTCTGCTGCCCACCTTTTGCCATTCCCAGGCCAGTCTTTTCCCCACCGTGGCGGCGAGTCTGGCTGTGTGCAGCCCGCCGGGGCGGGAGGGAGTGTGAATACTTCAACCGGGTTCTGGAGGAAAGAGCAGTTTGTTGTTGGCTGTCATTGCATATAGATATCAGAGCACCAGTTTTAACTGGAGCTGTAAGGCTACCCAGAGTACGGAACCAGCATCTCTGAAAGCTGTCGGTAGGTTTCTATTTCTCCAGGTAGTGTTCATAGCCATCTTTTAGGTTGCAGCACTCCCAATGTGCCTGCAGTGCCCCTTTTTCTGGTGAAGCTTACCCCTGGGATTTGGGAAAACCGGGCTCTTATCAAAAACTGGAGAAGTAATAATTGGAAGGAATGTTGTTTGTACAGATGTGTTGTATTTTACAAAATTTTTTGTTTAAATTTTTTTGTTGCTGTTGATACATCAAAGTGTTTTGCTGCAAAGCTCAGCCCTGAAACCTGGGCTCTCAGACAGGGTTTCAGCACAGCTTGGTTGGTTTGCTGCCCCGGTGGCATGCTCTGTGGAAGCTACGGAGCTGTCTGCACAGGCTTCCTAAAGACTGATGTTCAGGATTCATATCTTAAAAATATACAAGAACAGCCCTTGGGCAGTGATGCCCTGCCTAATAGCCCCACCTGATTTCCCCTTTGAACTACATACTCTGCTATAAGTAGTTCTGGCACCTGCTGAAACTAGAAATGTTTCTTTCCCTGAAACCAGACACCAGCAGTGGTTAATTACCACATCCCAAATTGGCACAGATTAATGCAGCTTCACTGAAGCTTCATGGAATTATGCTTGCTTTGGCTCTGAGTCATTAATAGGTATCTTTCTGGCTATTTTTATGCTCTTCAAATTATTTCGTTCAATTACAAAAGCAATTATCAGTCCAAATCTGTTTTTCCTGGTTAGAAAAAAAACTTTCTCTGTTGCTGTAAATTGCTGGGCTGAGTTTTTCTTGTGCTTGTTTTATGTAGACTTAACTGATCAGCAAGCTCAGCTGTATGAGAGCTATAGCTCTCACAGCCCCAGAATTGCTGGACTGCTCCAACACTGCTATATATCCTGCAGTATGTATATACGTGCATGAAGTGATTGCTTTTGAACAATCTTTGGATGTGTAATTGAAGGGGAAAATCATGTAGTTACAATTTCCTTGATGCTTGGAGAAGTGGACCATTATAGAAGTGATTGCTGTGGACATATGTGAGCTAAATTATTAAAGCTGTGACCTGAGGATTGGAGTCAAAACAGCTGGAGCCAGGACCTAAACAGACCTAGAGTTCAGACAAGTCACAAAATGAACAAGTTAGGGACTGTTCTGGATACTGTCAGAAAAATTGACATGGAATAATGGTGACCAGTAACTTTGCCCCTAAGAAGCACTCAGCTAGCAGGGAGTCAGGTGCTTTTATTGTGCTATTACGTCTAGTGACTCTGCACGGGTTTTACAGCCTGATACTAAAGCCCTCCTAAGCCCTCTTTGAAGCAGAGGTCTTGAGCAGAAGCAACACTAAACTGCTGTACTCTGGGTGCCTGTATTCAGAATAACAACCTGTGACTTCCAGCAGCAATGGTGCAGCTTCCTAGCTGATCTGTCACCTTGAGCAGCCATTCATGTGCCTTGCACTCTTAGAGATTGGTTTCATGGGGACATAGTTAAGACAGGATGTGATGGAATATGTCTCCCCTGTTAAGTTTTTGAGCTCTGAGGATTTTTATTCTGCTAAAAAAACAAAAACAAACAAGCCACTTGCCTGATAGATTAAGAACGAACTGCTTTAATAGGGCTCATTTTAAGCTCACACGCAGGACATGCAATCCCAATACTCTGGAGTTCAGTGCCAGATGGCATATATCTGTGTGTGCAAAAACAAGTTCAGCAACAAAACAAGCTTTGTATCAAAACAGTTTATTAAAAACAATAAGAGACTTCACTGAAGCTGCCTCAAGACAGAACTACAACATCATTGCAGCATTCAACGCAATCTTAATCTGCATATAGATATAATACTACACAGCTCCTGTTCACCTTGGACAAATTTTGCCCATGGTCTGGCCTCGTGCAGCCCTGCCAACACAACCCATTCCGGCACACTCCAGCTGCAGAACCTGTTCCTCCGGGAGCTGCGTTACAGCCCTGCCTCGCTGCGCAGTGCGGCTGCTGGCCAGGAGTCACACAGAAACCCAGCACACCTCAGCCAGAGGCAGTTTACAGAACCCGTGTGAACACACCAAGGGACTGATGACAGCAACACTGCTTGGTGTTTAGGAGAAAAAAAAAAATACGCAACTAAACTCAGGTTCCCAGCACCGCGCAGCTGCATGGAGCAGCTCCTGTTCGCAGGCAGGGAGCTCTGTTTGACCTGCTGCACAGCCACCTCTGCCGTGACAGAGGGACTCGTACACCATGCAGTTTGATCTAGGTCATGGAGTCACCTCCCACCACAGCATTTGCAGGGAGGCACATCACTAGCAGCTGGCTGGCACGCTCCTGCTGTCACCTCTGAATGCCCTCCAACAGCAGCACTTCCTCGCCACCAGCTTTCCAAAGTCAGTATTTGTCCTTGCACCATAGCAAACAGACTGAGCGCTCGGTACCTCAGCCTTCCAGGTCAGGATGCTGCCGGGAGCTGGGGCTGGCTTCCTCACCAGCCGAGAGGCTTCTCCTCGCTGTTCTCCATCGCTCATGTCCCCTGGGCTGCCCTGGTTATGGGAGTCTTCTTGCACAGCTCCTGATAGAACTCAGATTCCAGAAACCGTGGGTATGAGTTGTTCTCCATTAAGCTGTAAACTCTCTTCTGCGCTGCACTGAAGCAGGTATGTGTGGCTTCTTGAATATTCTGTGCAATTGTGTTCTTGGTTTGGAAGTCTATGTTTATCTGCAAACCAAAAAAAAAAAAAAAAAAAAAAAAAAAAAAAGCAAAAACACATTTACTTCTGAGAACTGAATTTGAGTAAGTATAATACACCATAACATTTCTGAAGAGGTAAAAAAGACAAGACGCTACTACTACCAGGTTAAGTTAGTGAAGTTTCCTTGAAGGAAATTCTTCTTTAATACAAAAAAACAGAGTAACTCAGACAGATGGAAACTGTGAAATACTACTTGTGCCATTTTCCAACTTGGTGAAAAGGCAGTTCAGGAGAGTTATGTTCAGACACAGACATTAACAGTGAGATATGTAGGATGCAGTTCTGGCATCTACCTTAAAAGTGAGTTCAGAGAAATAAAGAAGGGCTTTAAGAACTCAGAGCAGGGCAGTTATGTTTAAATAGGTTTTCTTTACCTCTTTGGGAGCCTCCTTTTCAATGAAGTCATTGTAGATTTTTTTCGCTTTCGATGTCAGCTTCTGGGGTGACTTGGTTTTCTTGAAGTCCTCACAGGCCAACCAGAACTCGATGTTCTCTTCACAGAACTCGGACTTCAGAAAAGCTCGGAAAGCAGCAAGACCATCTAGGGAAAGCAAAAAAAAAAAAAAAAATAGTGTCAATTAACTACATCAGGAAACTTGAAGTCTGGGCACATCTGTTTCTGACAAACCATTTTGCTGTAGGTCTGGTTCTTGCAGGGATATCATAGCAATAAAAAAAATTCCATGTTTATGTATGTAAACAAATTAACAGCTTGGCAGGCTTCACTTTGAGTGAGTAATTTTTCAGGTAAACACAGAAAATGAAAGCCATTTTAGTTGGTATGTTCCCTTTTGTGATGCCTGCGTGTATATTAAAAAACCCCTTTCTCTAGATGGGATCTCCCGTGTTAACCTTTACACCGGAATAAATATTTATGACCGTGCTACAAACCTCTGGAATATTTTTTGCAATGGAAAGGATGACTTGAGCTCTAAGAACAAATCGTAATATTATTTCTTAGTCCTTTTGCTCTGCTGTTGAGTGCTTTTCCTTGTCGCGCTACAGTAAAACCCTGAGATCTTTGAAATTCTGTGTTGCAGAACCCTTCCCAAGCTATCTGGACGCGTTTGCCTTGTTTACGCACTCAGCTCAGTGAACAAACATTTGGCAAGGCTGAGCCGAGAGGTATGATTTTAACTACAAGTGTTACAGAAAAAATTCCGCTACAACCAAGTATTTTTGATGCTTTAATATTAGTTTATAATATTATTTTAAAGAATACTTCTATGAATTTTGGCTTGTTTAAAACATTTAACTTTCAAGACCAGAATCAAAGCCATTTACACTAGAAAGGTACAACGCTGACATGCAAGGAAGCAGTCTCTTACAGATCTACAAGCTTCACCATCCCTTTGCTCTCGAGTGTTACTTTTTGAAGACAAACTTACATTTATTCGCCAGAAGTTCATCGAAGGCTTCCGACCACAGCTGGGCTTCTTCAGGGGAAGGTCTGCACAGAGAGAAAGGGAACATGAGACCCCCTTGCTCGGGCTTCATCGTTTTTGTCAGACACTGGAGTTATTTAAACCAAGTCTCCCTCTTATCGCTTACCTGAAGTAGGTGCGGTGTTTCCCCACCGTCTTGGGTTTCATTTTAGCAGAGCTGGAAGAGTTCTGCAGGAAGTAGCTCAGCCGGGTTTTCCAATCTTTAATGCTGGAAGAATGGAGAGGAAGACGCGGGTTAGACACCAACCCCAGTACCAGCAGAGGCTGCAGAAGCTTCCCCGACATTCCTCTGCCGGTCCTGTACCCGGAGAGGCACCCGGAGAGGCACCCAGAG